CCCGTTCTCCGCTCCTCCCTCCCCGCCCTTCTTTGTTCCTCCTCCTCCTGCTTCTCCTACTGGCCCTCGCTTCTCCTGCTCCCCCCCCCCCGCCTCAGCCTGCCCCCCTGTCCTCCCCAACCGTGCCTCCTCCCCCCCTTCCTGGAGATCCTCCTCCTGCTGCCTCCTCCTCCTCCTCCTCCACTGGGCTCCCTCCTCCCAGTCTCCTCTCGGCCTCCTCCCCTCTCGGCCTCCCCCCGCGCCCAGCTAGCTCTGGGCTCGCCTCGCACCCCCCCCCAACCCGCCGCAGGGGCGTGGCTCCGGGAGCGTGGTGCGGCCGTCCCCGTCGCGGTCGACGGCCTGCGGGCGCGCGGCGCAGCGGGAGGGCGGCTGGGGCCTGCCTCTCGGGGGCACATGCGGGATGGAGGAGTGATGATGATTATGATGATGATGATGATGATGATGATGATGATGATGAAAATTAATGATGACGATGGTGGTGATGATGGTATTGATGATGGTAATAATGAAAATGAGGATGTTGGTGATCATGATGCTGATGTAGATACTGGTGGTGAGTTTGGTGATGATGCTGGTAGTGGTGAGAATGAGGATGATGGCGGTGATGATGATGATAATGATGTTGATGCTGGTGATGATACGGTTAATCTGAATAGAATGGTGATGCTGGTGATGGTGGTGATAATGATGACGGTGATGGTGGTCAAGGTGATTATGATGATGGAAATGATGATACCGAGGATGATGGTGAATATGACGATGCTGATGAGGATGGTTATGATGATAATGCTGACGATGATGATGCTGATGATAATGATGGTGATGATAGTGATGATAGTGATGATTGTGCTGATGCTGATGGTGCTGATGATAATCGTAACAATTATGATGATGGTAATGGTAATAGTGGTGGTGATGGTGATGTTGGGATGCTGATGCCGATGATGAGACTGATGGGAACAATGGTGATGTTGATGATGTTGATGGTGTTGATGATGATGGTGATGATGGTGATTGTGGTGATTGTGGTGATGATGATGATGATGATGATGATGATGATGATGATGATGATGATGATGATGGTAGTGACAATAATGAGAATGATGGAAAGGAGGATGGTGATGATGAACAAGTAATGTGATGATGGTGACGATGGTGTCGGTGATGCGAATGATGATTACAATAATGATAATGAGGATGTTGGTGAATTACAATTCGCCGGCCCAACGGGCCAGAGGCGTGCTAAGATCTCCGGTAACTGGTTAACAATTGTATTGTACTAGTTCGCGCGCGCGGGGCGGCCCCTGGGGGTCCCCCGGCGAAAAGTACCCCGCCCGCCGCCTGGCAAGGTCCCGCCCGGTTCAACTCAGAGATGGTTTTCCTTCTGGGTGCGGCCTCTCAGGCCGCCCTGAGCGCGCCAAGAGTGCCCCAAGAGGCCCCCAAGACTGCCCAAGAGGCCCCCGAGACGCCCAAAGAGCGCTCGAAGACGCCGAAGATGACCCCAAGACGGCCCAAAAGGCCCCCAAGACAGCCCAAGAGGCCTCCAAGACGCCCCAAGAGCCTTCCAAGAGGCCTCCGAAGAGAGCCCCAAGAGGCCAAAATCGTTGATTTTCATTGTTTTTTTCTATGTTTTTTGTGTTCTGGCTTTTTCGGCTTCCGGACGCTCCAAGACGGCCCAAGAGGCCCCCAAGACCGCTCCAAGACGGCCCACGAGGCTCCCAAGACGGCCCCGGAACGGCCCAGGAGGGCCCCCAAGACGGCCCAAGTGCCGCCCAAGACGGACCAAGAGGCCCCAAGACGGGCCCAAGAGGGGCTCAAGAGGGGAACCGAGAACTGAAAAATCGAGCCCTCCGCCCCAGAAGGCGCCCAGGAGGCCCCAAAAAGGCCCCAAGAGGCCCCCAAGAGGCCCCCAAGACGCCCCAAGAGGCGCCCAAGAGGCCCAAAAGAGGCCCCAAGAGGCCCCAAAACGGCCCCCAAAACTCGGCTAGCCCACAACGGTGCGACAATATGGGCCGGCGGAATGAGCGAAGCGATTAAATAATGATAATGAGGATGTTGGTGATGATGATGATGATGATGATGATGCTGGTGATGATGAGAATGATGGTGATTGTGGTGATGATGATAGTGGTAGGAATGAGGATGATGGTAATGATGATGCTGATGGTAATGATGGAGTTGCTGATACTGATGGCAAAGATGAGGGTGATAATGATGATGACTGTGATTATAACGATGATGATAATGATGATGATGATGGCGATCATGGTGATAATGGTGATGCTGTTTCTGATGATGGTAAGGATGGTGGTGAGGATGCTGGTGAAGATGATGATGTTGACTCTGATGTTTAAAAATTTACAATGATAATGACTAGGATGCTGATGATTACGATGGTGAAGATGGTGCTACTGCTGATGGTGTTGCTGATGATGATGACATGTGGTGATCATGAGGAGGATAATGGTGATAATGGTGGTGGTGGCGATGGTGGTGATGATGATGCTGATGATGATGTTGACAGTGGTTATAATGAAGATGCTGGTGATGATGGTGGTGGTGCTGGTGATGATGGTGATGATGATGGGGATTGTGGTGGTGATGGTGATAGTGGTAGGAATGAGGATGATGGCGATAATGTTAAAGATGACGATAAACCATACTGGTGATGGTGATGGCGGTGATGATGATGATGATGATGATGATGCGAATTATAATGATGGTGATGCTGATAATGATGAGAATGATGATGATACTGTTGAGGATACTCATACCAGTGTACTGGGTGATGCCGAGTGTGCTGGTGATAATGATGATCATCAGGACGCTTGTGCTGATGATGATGATGCTGATGAGGATGCTACTGATGGTAGTGATGATGATCATGCTAATGATGATGATGATGGTGGTGATGATTGCGAACACGGTGCTGATGATGATACAGGTGTTGATAACAATAGTGATGATGATATAACGATAACTGTGGTGATGGTGATGATAATGATGAGAATGAGGATATTGGTGATGGTGGTGATTATGATGATGATCATTGATGGTGGCGATGGTGATTGTGGTGATGATGATGATGATGTTGATGGTTGTGATAATAAGGATGATGGTAATGGTGATGATGCTGATGATGATGGCGATGTCAGTCATGATAATGATGGAGATGGTGATGATGATGCTGATGATAATGACAATGATGACAGTGATGAGGGTGTTGGTGATCATGATCGTCCTGGTGGAGATGATGATGCTGATAATGATGGTTATGATGATAACGATGATGATGATGGTGATGATGGTGGCGATGGTGCTGATGCTGATGGTGCCGATGGTGATGGTAATATTGATGAGGACGATGATAGAGATACTAATGGTGATGATAGTGGTGATGGTGATGATGGTGCTGATGATGATAACAGTGATAAGAATGAGGAAGTTGGTGGTGATGGTGATGATGATGCTGCTGATGATGGTGACTATGGTGATTGTGGTGATGATGGTGAAGGCGATAATGAGGATGGTGGTCAGGTTGATGTTGCTGATGATGCTGATGATGCGAATGTTGATGATGATGATGGCGATGATGGTGCTGATGCTGATTGTGCTGATGATGATGACGATAATGATGATGATAATAATATAATGGTGATAATGGGGATGATTGTGAGGATGATGCTGGTGATGATGATAATGATGAGAATGAGGATGTAAGTGATGATGGTGACGATGCTGATGATGATACTGATGGTGATGATGGTGATTGTGATGAAGTCAGTTGTGATAATGCGGGTGATCGTGATGATGATGATGCTGTTGATGCTGATGGTGATGTTGATGATGGTAATGATGACAAAGATGATGATGCTGATGATGATGGTAACGTAAATGATGACGGTGATGATGGTGATGATGATAATGGTAATGATGATGATGATAATGATGATGATGATGATGATGATGATGGTGTGAAGGTTGGTGATGATGGTGCTGATGCTCATGGTGCTGATGATGATGGTGATATTAGTGATGATGATAATGATGATGATGATGATGATGATGGAACAGATGATCATGGTGATGATGGTGATGATGGTTATGATGGTGCTGGTGATGATGACACTGATAAGAATGGGGATGCTGGTAATGATGATAATGCTGATGATTATAATGATGATAATGATAATGATGATGGTGATTGTGGTGATCATGATGCTAGTGGTGATGATAATGGTGATGGTGATGAGGAAGATAGTGATGATGATCATGATGACGACGACGATGATGATGATGATGATGATGATGATGATGATGATGATTATGATGGTGGTGGTGGTGGAGGATCAAGGAGAAGGAGGAGGAGGAGCAGTAGGAGGAGGATCGCACGCCACAGAGGGAGAGAAAGGAGGGACCGGTCGGACGGTGCGGCCGACCACCCCCCAGGGGGGGAGCCCTTCGGAGAGGACCCCGTCGCCTCCACGGTGCGGCCTTGAGCCCCAACCGCACGCTGGGCCAGTTACAGGCCACCCCCCTCCCCTGGGAAGAAGGCACGCCGCCCAGGTCGAAGTTGGGCAGGCCGTCCTGCCCCTTCGCCTCGAGGCGGCTGCCCAGGCCTCGAGCCTCATCCTCGCTCAGTCGGGCCAGCAGAAGGGCGAGGAGGACACAAGATTGCGGAGAAAAGGGGGGAGGGGGCGAGTAGGAGGAGCGGTTGATAGGGGAACGAACAATGACATCAGCACAAAAACTCGGAGGTCCGCGCGGATTTCTTGGATCCGCGCTGGATCCCCCTCTCTGGCGCGCTCCGCGCGCCAGGGACGGCGCCGGAGGCGCCGCGGGGGGGCCCCAGCGCCGATCCGAGAAATCCGCGCGGAACTCCGAGTTCTTATGTTTATGTCAGTGTTCGCTCCCCCAGTGGAAGGCTGGAGGGAGGAGGAGGGCGGGGAGCTGGGGACGGAGTGCCGGCAGGAGCAGGGGGGGCCCGAGGGAGGAGGTGGGCGGGGGAGGGGGCGGGGCAGGACGGGAGGAGACAGGCTGGGGCGCCCGCAGAGAGAGGGCGGGAGGAGGTGGCGGCGGAGGGGCTCCGGGCAGGCCACGTCTGAGCCCCGCCGCGGCGCGCGTCATCTCCGACGCCTCTTGCGGCGGGCGGAGTCCTCCCGCTCGAGGGCCGCGTCCACCTCGAGGGCTCTCCCAGAACGGATGCCCAGCGGTCGGAAGGAGTGGGCAGAAACAGGGAGCAGGAAGGCGCTGGAAGCAGATCGGGTGTCGCCCGACTCCCGAAGAGGAGGCAAGGGGGAAAACCGCTCGGCTCTTGAAGTGGGAGGGCCGCTAAAGTAGCTTGGGATCTGGGCTCCAAAAATACCTACTTTCAACGACCGCTGGGTACGGGGAAGATGGCCAGGTGAGCGACGCGCAAGAAAACGGTCTCGCGGGAGATGACAAAACGACCCTGCGCGGTGGCTTACGCACGCCACAAACGCGACGCGCCGCGCGGAAGACAGAACGCTTATGCGCGACCTTACGCGGGCAGCTTACGCGCGAACGATGGTGAAGACGACCCTGTTTTCTGCGTCGCTCAGTGGCCTAGCAGCGAATCTCGTCCAAATCTGGCAGCGGCCGCTTTTGGGCAGGCGACCTTTTGCACCAAATTGGACAACGTCCGCGGCGGCGGCGACAGCGAATCATGCTCTAAATGGCCATGAACTGCTGTCGGTCTTCGTCCCCGGTCTTTCTCCCCAGCTCCCGACAGCGAAACCGCACGCTCCTAAGCGGGCTGGGCTGGCGGGCCCCCACCGGCGATCAAGGAGCGGCTGGGGGGCGACGCAATCCACCCAGAGCCCATTCCCTTCCAACGTTGCCACTGACATTCGGTCCCCTAGTCATTATTTGGTCCCCTAGTCTGCGTCATTATTTGGCATTTGCACATTATTTGGTCCCCTAGTCTGGACAGCCCTCCTCGCAGCCCCCCGGCTTTCGGGCCTCAGCTCGGGCATCCGGCAGCGGCTCGGGACGACCGCTGGGCAGCCCCAGCATGCTCTCGACGCGGCGCAGCTGCTGGACATCGTCCTTAGGCCCCAACAGCCGGGGGCGCGCGAACCTGGATCAGCGATCCATGGACTTGGCGCGCGGTCGCCAAATCCATGGATCGGGGGAGATGCCCTCCCCCAAATGCGGCCAGGGCCGCCTCGTTCGGCGGCGGAAATCCACGATTTCCCATGGAAACGGGACCCGTCGCCAATCCACGCCCCCTCGATCCAGGTTTGCGATCGCTGGAGACAGTCCCAATAAGACTCGAAACCTCCACCCCCTTCCCAGCAGCCGAGCCCCCCTTGGCGTAGCTCTAGGGCCGCGCCCGCCCACGTCTCGCACAGGTGCCCGACGCCCCCCCCCCCCTGAGCACCCATGGGCGCCGCGTCGCGAAGGCGACCCCCCCAGCGGCGGCAACGAGCAGGAGGAGGGGGGGAGGAGGAGGAGGAGGAGGAGGAGGAGGAGGAGGAGGAGGAGGAGGAGGAGGAGGAGGAGGAGGAGGAGGAGGAGGAGGAGGAGGAGGAGGAGACCTCCGCCATGTACGCCTCCAGCGGGTCGCCGCCCGGCGCCTCGCCGCCGCCCTCCCCCACGGGCGCCAGCGCCGTCTCCTCGGAGGTCACCATGCCCACGGCCGCGGCGCCCTCGTGCTCCTCCTCTCGGGCGGGTGGCAGCGGCGGGTGGCCGAAACGGAGGGGGTGAAGACGAGGACCCGAAAGGGGCCCTTGGGGCCAGCAGGGGCCCTAAAGGGGCGCTGAAGGGCCCAAATAGGCCCCTGCCCACCCCCCGTGGACGTCACCCCCCATTACCGCCCGGCTGGTCCTCCGTGACCCCCGGGCAGTTCCGGGCCATGTCGTCCGGCGAGTCGTACCTTCGGGAGGGCGCCGGTGGCACGCCTGCAGCCGACCTGGCCAGGCCGGGCCTGGGACCGGGCTCGGCGTGTGTAGAGGAGCGTCAAGTGGAGGTCCGCGCGGATTGCTTGGATCTGCGCTCGACCCCCCCCCCTGGCGCGCGGAGCGCGCTGGGGGCGGTTCCGAAGGCGCCGCCAGGAGGGCCCAGCGCAGATCCGAGAAATCCGCGCGGCGCGTCGAAAGTTCATGTTTATGCAGTTTGCTTCTCTTCGAGTGTGTGTGTGTGTGTGCCTTCCTGGCAAAGCCGGGAGGGCGGGCGCTGGGCCCAGCAGGGGCCTGGCCAAGATTTGTACAAATGGTATATTGTTGGCGCCCTCAGATACCGGCAGCCGCAGTGGAGGCAGTACAGGTGCACCGTCCTCTTGCGGCGAGGTCGGCGATCTACTAACCAGGTCAATGGAAACCCAGGTCAGTCAGACCTTGCAGGATCCTGCAGGATCCTGCGTCGTAGCCCTGGTCATTGCACCCCTGGCCCTGCAGGATCCTGCAAGATCCGGCGCTCTGGCTGACCTCCGTTTGCATTCACCCCCGTCACTTCGGCCGCGATGATCGGCAGCGATAGGGCGGCCAGCTCAGTGGGGGGGGAACCAGCAAGCTGGAGTCGGCGATGCATCACCGACAGATCGGCGATAGGGCATCGACAGCAAAAAACCAAACGTCCCCAGGCGGGCAGGGAGGCATCGGGCCCCTGTCGGCGATAAGAACGCGATTGAGGGTCGACGCGTTAGACTCCGAGCAGATCCACCCCCAGCGTTGCCCCCGATCCTCTTGATCCATGGGGGGGGGCATATCCGCCCCTAGCGTTGCCCCTGACCCTCCTGAATGCGTAGGGGGGGAAAAAACACACCGCCACCGAGCAACTGGACGGGGGCACGCCCGAGCGCCGTCCCGCACTCAGTGACGCTCGGGCGTGCCGCCGCCCAGGGGTCGCTGCCCCCTCCCTCCCCGGTGGGTTCTCAGTTGCGGTGGTCCCTGCTTCTCCCCCTCCTCGCGGGCTCCAACCCCCGACGGCCACGCGCCAGCTCGCGCCCCGCGCGGGGCGACTCGCGCTCTGAGCGGGGCGTGGGAGGGGCTCGCTTGATACACCGCGTCGCCTGGCCGGCCAAGGAGCTCAGCGTAGAGACGCCCCAGCGGCCCAAACTGCGGGACGCTGGAGCATCTACACACCGCCTTCCTGCTCCGACTTCACTGGCTCTCTGTGGCGGCGCGCACAGGGGTGATAAGAGGTAGGGGGAGGGGGAAGGGAAAGGCTTCTTAGGAAGAGGAGGCTGCTTCTTAGCAGGCGCCGGTCCCACACTTGTAGACACAAGGCCTGGCCCGCGCCTTCTCAGAAGCAGCCTCCTTCTAAGAAGGCTTCCCTGGAAGAAGACAAAACGCCATAAACATAAACTGCTGGCGATCCGCGCGGATTTCCTGGATATGCGCTGGACCCCCCTCCCTGGCGCGCTGAGCGCGCCAGGGGCGGCGCCGGCCGCGCGGAGCGCCGAAAGGTTACGTTTCTGGCGTCTTTTCTTGTTCGATTCCCCCCTCTCCTTGCCCCCCCGTGTGCCCGCCGCCAATGTTCGGTCATCTTTCGTGCGCTCGCGGCAACCCCGCCCACCCGGGAAGGAGGACGCCCGGCAATGCCAAGGGGGGTCACCACTAGGGTTAGGTCGGGCATGTCTTCCTACAGGCGGAGATTGGAAGAAACATCAAACATCCAAAACAGAAAATACGATTGTCAACAAATCATCCCCAGACTATTGATTTAACTATTCTTGAATATTCCTCCTGTAGAGGGACATGCCCGACATGACACTAGGGGCGAAAGACTCCTCGAGCTTCGACCCTGGGACCTCGACCCTCAAGAGGGTATGGTAAACCCCCTGCGTGGTGACCCCAGATACACTGCTCGACCCACCCCCTTCGAGGCGAGTCCCCGAGGGCAGGACCAGTTAGAATCGAAGCGGGACATCGGACCGAATCGAGATGTGCGTCGGATCGTGCTGCATCGGCACGGAGTCAGAATCGAATCGGATCGGCTGCGCCAGGATGCACAGCGGCGCCATGCAGCAGGCATATGCAGGCACTGGGCCGCACCAAATCGCCAGCGTGCGGGAATCGAACCGGACCGGGCCGGCCCAAACCGACATCGGATAGGACCGATCTGATCGAAACGGGCCCTGGGCACATGTGGCTCCCATCACAATTAAGGGCCACATTCCAGAAATAACGTCGAGCACCCAGACAAGTATCGAGACAATGCCTGCACGACACGCTAGCGAAGAGTCGAACGAGTATCGCCTCCAAGGGCCCGACACGCGAAAACCCTGCAGTTTCGGTACTTTCTTGGTGCTCGGATCTCTTTGTGGTGCTCAAGGCTGAAGTCGGCTGGAGCAGCAGAACTTGAGCAGGGATGGACCGTCCCGGCATTCCTATAGTAGGGGGCCACATGCGAACCCTACCCCTACCCCCTCAGAAATCGTGGGGGGTAGGGGTAGGGTTCGCATGTGGCCCCCCATATAGGCCTACCACGAAATGTTCTTAGAACCGGGAAAATGCTAAGAACAAAAACAACGTTCTTAGAACAGAATCCCGATGTACTGGAACAAGACAGTCCCAGCCAACAAATGTTCTAAGAACATTCGTAGAAGCCAGAAAATGTTATTGGAACATTGTTTGGTGGGCGTACAGGCACGCCAGAACACCTTGCCACTGCTTGAAGAACCCTGGGGGATCCTCAGGTGCGTCACGAGATCCAGCAGGCGGGCCATCGCCGCCTCGGGGTCGTCGAGCTCCGGCCTCTCGTCGAAGTTCGGCAGCTCGGGCTCCAGCCCGGGCAGCACGCCCGCGCGCTCCGCGCGCTCACGCGCGGCCCTGGCCTCCTCCTCGGCCTCTCTCGAGAGGCCGACGGCGGGGACGCCGACGGCGGCGGCGACGACGCCGACGGCAGCGACGGCGACGGCGCGACGGCTGTGGCCGCTGGCGAGTACGACGACAACCGGCACGGCGAGGACGAGGACGACGGCGACGACGAAGGCTGAGACGACGGCGACGAAGATAACGGCGACGGCGACGGCGACGCGACGGAGACGGCGACGGCGACGATGACAGCACCGACGGCTAGGACGACGGCGGCGGCGGCGACGACGACGGCCACGGCGGCGGCAACGACGAGGACGGCGGGCGGCGACGCCCGCCAACCACGAGGAGGGCGACCGGCCTCCCGGCCCGCTCGCCGCGACTCGGGGGGCCACAGCCCGCTCTCCGCCAGCCCCGCGCCGCGGTCGCAGTGCTCCACGGACCGCTCGGCGGCCCGCACCTGCCCGCGCAGCCGCCGGCCCGCGAGCCGCGCGGCCACGCGGCCCGCGAACTGCCTGCGCAGCGCGGCCTCGGCCCGGTCGCGGTGCCTGAGCCTCTCCTCGAACTCCTCCCAGGTCCTCGCGGCTGCAGGGCTGCAGGGGTGCAGCCAGGTCCCCCCGATGTGCCGGGTCAGCTGAGTCGCGGGAGCCTCCCTGGCCCCTGGCCGACCAGACCACACCTGTATGGCGACACCCTGCCATGACCGCGGTCGTCCCGAGTGCGCCCGCATCCACCCACATCTTTCGAGGCCTTCGGGATAGATGGGGTCGGAGGATCGCGCCGCATCGCCGCTGCATCAACGATGCATCGTCGACGTCGGCGATGCATCGACGAAGACGTGGAGCAAAACCGGCTTCATATCGAGCCGCATCGCCGATGCATTGGCGAATCGGCGCCATCCTCCGACCCTGCTAATTGGACCTCGCTCAAAGACGCTAAGAGCACGACTCCGACCCCATCTGGGAGGCCGTTAGACCTCCTATGCGCACTGCATATGCTCGGCGAACTTGATGAACTCAGAGAGTCTTTAGTGCTAACTGCCTCCCCCACCGACGACGACGACGACGACGACGACGACGACGACGACGACGACGACGACGAGGACGACGACGATTGCGGAGGGCAGAGCGGTGGCCGCGGGGGGGGGATAATACTAATTTTCCACGTGTTGCTGGAGATCCTAATCCGTCCGTTTGGCTACGACTATGGCTATGGCTCCGCACGCGTGTCGCCAGGAGGGCTCGGCGGAAAGAGAGCCGGGGCGCCTGGTAAAGCGCACGTGAGTCGAACACTGTGAAGCACTGCATGGGAGGAGGAGGAGGAGGAGGAGGAGGAGGAGGAGGAGAAGGAGGAGGAGGAGGAGGAGGACGAGGAGGAGCAGGAGCAGGAGGAGGAGGATCAGGAGCAGGAGCAGGAGGAGGAGCAGGAGCAGGAACAGGAGCAGGAGCAGGAGCAAGAGTAGGCTACCATTTTTCCCACTATTCGGGGGGAGGTACGGTAGGTTTGCGCGGCGTCGGCGCGCGCTCAAGGTTTTTGGCACCGCGCCGATCGTTCAACCTCGAATCGATCGCGGCCCCGATCGTTCAAGACTGAATTTAGTCGGATCCAGTGGCAAGGCTGTGTCCATCGGTGCTTCCGCGCCGCAGAATTCGACCTAGAACGCTTTTGCACACGTCGCCCGCGCGCCAACGCCGCACGAACCTACCATACATCGGGGGCGCGCAAACATGGATTAGCGATCCATGGCTTTGGCGCGCGATCGCCAAATCCATGGATCGGGGGAGGTGCCCTCCCCAACCAGCGGCCGGTGCCGCCTCGCTCGGCGGCGGAAATCCGCGATTGGCCATGGAAACGGGACCCGTCGCTAATCCACGCCCCCTGAATCCATGCTTGCGATCGCCTGAATAAAACCCTTCCGTACAGCTGGGGAGACCAGAAGGTACCGATACCGCTACACCCTGCGAAATGCTTAAGAAATCATGGGTTAAGAAATTCATAGTCTCAGAACTTGAATAAAAGCCCAACATTTCCATTAAAATCTTAGGATTTTCATTCAAAAGTTAAGAATAATCGAGACTCTGGCCGAAAACTCAAGTTTTCTTAAGCATCGCCTAAGGTGTACTCCCCGGACCTCTCCCGGGGTGCGTTCTGACCAGGATTTCGAGGCGAATGCAGCGGTGGCGACGGGGACCTCCCAGGAGGCCCAAGAAGGGGAGAACGGGCAAAGGCTAGAGGTGTGGGCAGTTACCTTTTCCTCCTCTGGCCATCGCTCGGACGTCCATTCCCTGTGCTTGTTTCGGTTTCGTGCGTGGTTTTTTCCCCAAGTGATCAAGGATGCTCCTCAATGGTCCTCGCCGAAGGAAAAGTGCACACGTCCGAGCGATGCCGAATCCTCTGAGTACAACCCTTCGCGGTTCCCTGCGTCCTCGTGTCCCACCAGCGCGCCTGCGCGCCCTCCGCCCGCGCCCCGCCCCACGCCTCCCCGCGCCCCGCGGCGGGAGCTGGCCGCCCGCGCGCCACCTCCAGCAGGTGGGCGGCCTGCCCCGCCGGGCTCGACAGCCGCTCGAAGGCCTCGCTGAGGGCCTGGGAGCGGCCGTTCCCCCCGGGGCCGCAGGCGACCCGAGGAGGGGAGGGCGAGGAGGGGGGGGGAGGAGGAGGAGGAGGAGGAGGAGGAGGAGGAGGAGGAGGAGGAGGAGGAGGAGGAGGAGGAGGAGGAGGAGGAGGGAGGAGGAGGAGGAGGAGGAGGAGGAGGAGGAGGAGGAGGAGGAGGGCGAGGAGGAGGAGGAGGAGGAGAGGAGGGAGGAGGAGAGGAGGAGGAGGAGGAGGAGGAAGAGGAGGAGGAGGAGGAGGAGGAAAAGGAGGATGAGGGCGAGGAGGAGGAGGAGGAGGAGGGGGAGGAGGGGGAGGAGGATGGGGAGGAGGACAGGACAGGACAGGACACCCGCATGAGGGGGTCAACGTCGGGTCGCCTAAGCCCTTCGGAGATAACCTCCAGCCTGGAACGCCTCTTTGGCGCCCTGCGCCGTGCACCTGTCCCGTTGACCCAAAAGGGGGTCAGGCTGAAAGGGGTTGGTGCAATAGATTCGGGGCAAGTAAAACTTGCACATGTGTTGCGCGCGAGAATGGTGTTGCATTGAATTGCAACTCACGTGTTGCACACGACACTCCCGCAGCACGCTTGCGCACCAGACTGTATCGCACGCCGCAGATCGATTGCAACCTCACAAACCGGTTGCACGCACGCACCAAATCCAATGCACCACCTGCTTTTCGCTCGTCCCCTCTTAGGGCCGACCAGAACCTGCTCCGATGAGAAGCGGCAACCACCACCACCGAGAACCCACCGGGAGGGGGGGGGGAGGGGGCGAACCCTGGGCGGTGGCACGCCCGAGCGTCACCCCGGGCAGGACGGCGCTCGGGCGTGCCACCGCCCAGCAGTCGGCGGATCCGCCGCCCCCCCTCGGCGGTGGACAAACCTCCCCTTTCGCAAACCTCCCCTCAGTGAAAACGGCCTGGGACCGAAACCGACGGACCTGGACGCGCAAAAATGACGGCCGCGACGCCTTCTCGGGAACCGAAAACAGCCAATTCCTTAATCGACGTGTCAGGGTGGGAGGTCTACATCCACCTCCGACCCCCCCCCCAGGCTGGGCCCTCGGTGGCGGCGGTCCACGTTTCTCCTCTGACTTGTCGGGGTGCACCAGGAGGGCCAGCTTGCGGTACTGCTGCCGCACGGCGCCCGGGTCGGCGCTCTCGTCGGGGAGGCCCAGGCGACCGAACAGGGTCGCCGCGCCGAGCACGCGGGCCACGGCGGGCTCCGCCATGCGGCCGCCGGGCCCGGGCAGGCCGGGAGGGGCGGGGGCGAGAGAGGAGGAGCGAGGAGGGAAGACCTCGAGCCAACGCTTTTGTTACGTAAGAGGGCCCAGGGACACACACACAAATACGTACACACCAATCCCAGGATCCCCCACTATTTTCACATATTTTTAGGATGCTCGTATTCCCCCCCACTTCCCATAGTTTCCCATACTTTCCGGGGGATCGACAACTAATTGTGTCTCTGTGTGTTTTCCCCCTCCTGATAATGCCCGCCCGTAACCGTCCCCGCCCCCCCCCTGGTCACGTCACTGTTCGCGCCAGCGCCACCTGGGAATGAGCCATTCTTCAACATCTCCAGCCGGCGCTGGCGCGAATCGTGAAGCGACCAGGCTCCAGATCTCGCCATAGGATAAAAACTGGTCTCCACTCCGAGACCGAGAAGAAAGCTCTGGACAGATTCGGCAATATCTGGGAAAGGCCTCCAGATTCAAGCCAGGCTGGCTGGGCTGGCTGAACTTTATGGGCTGATGAGGTTAGCTAGGCCGGCTATTTGAGCTGGGTTAGCTGGACGGCCGGCTGGCTTAGCTGGGATGGCTGGGCTGGCTGCGCTGGCTGGACAAGCTGGGCTGGCCAGGCTGGCTGGGAGCACCAGGGCTGCCAGGAGCAGGCGAGCTGCGTCCTGTGGTTCAGCATCGCACCCCGGAGCGAGGCTCTGAGAACAAGCCAGCTGCCAGGACGCCTGCTGGAGTCCTCTTGTGGTCTGCTGGGAGGTCTCCTGCAGGCGGCCCTTCAACGGCCACTTCCAGGCTTCTTGGGTGCCTCTTTGAGGCCTCCCGGAGGCCTCTTCTTGGAGTCCTCGTACTGAGCACGGTGTCCCTCCTTGACCCGCTCACGATTGTGAGGGCTCCCCGAGGGGGTTCTCGTGGCCCCCTTGGGGCCATCTGAGACTCTATCGGGCTGCCTGGAGGCGCTCTTTGGCCGTCCTGGGGCCGTCTCGAGGCTTTCCTCTGGTTGCGTCAACATCCCCATCACTCTATGCTGCCTGTGCCAGTTCGCGCGCGTGCCATTCGCGTCGCGAGCCAGAAGACATGAGGTCGCGAAGAAGATCCGCAACCCCAGTCGGGAGGGGAGAAGGCCGACGCTGCACGATGCAGCGCTGCACCGCCCAGGCCGAGGCGGCGGCCAAAAAAAAGCACGGTCGCAGCGCGACGCCAGCTGGGACGTCCAGCGCACGCGGCGCCTGGACCTCGCGAAGCACAGGAGAGAGGACGGGGAAGAGCAAGGAAGGGGCACAGACGCGAGACCAAGGATTTGGGAGACTATGGCGTCGTGTGGGCATCCTCTACTCTGGGTTTCTCAATGAGCGTCGGGGGGTACCCCCCCGACGGGGGTCCACCTCGCCTCGCCGTCGCGCCGCGACAGGGGTCGGAGCGCCTTTGGCGCGCGGTGGCTGCCCGCGACGGGGGTCGATGTGGGGCTGCCGGCGGAGGTGACGCTCCCCCTGGCGCTTATTAAGAAACTCGGAATATGGTCCAACCACCGTCTTAGGGCAATGTTGGGGGGCATCTCGGCGTCTTGGGCGTCCTGAGCCCGAAGACGAAAGGAGAGTCTGTAAAGACAGCCGCTCGCCAAACCCGCCAGACAAGCAAAGTCAGGAGGGGTTGCTTATCATAGCGGCGAAGCGGTGGACGCATCTGCACCTGGAATATGATGGGCTCCCCGTGAAGATTCACCACCCTCTCAACTTCATAGACGTGTGAAAATGCATTGCTGTCTGATCACATGAGCAAGTACTTCGTGCGATCGGCATAGCAGTCATAGAATGCTACCCAATGGAATGCCAGGGAATTTAATTTCCTTTGCTGACAGACTGAATCCTGTGGCGCACGTGAGTGCCGAAATGTTGCATCCCTTCCTGGTTCTCCTTCCTCCTCCACCCGTCCTCCTGACCCAAGTGTCTTACCATCCACTTATGTTCTCCTCCCCGCCCTTCCCTTCCTGAAACCAAAGGCATCCTCCTCATCCTCCGTCCTGGGCAAAAAAATACCGATGCCGCTACTCCCCAGACCTCTCCTGGGGTGCTAACTGACCAGAAGTACAAGGAAAACCCAGCAGTGGCGACGAGGGCTCTCCACGACGAGAAGCGGTAACAGTACGCCTCCTCCTCTGAACTCCTCCCTCCTCCGAAGTCTGTTGGCAGGAAGAAGTAGGACACATAAGATAAAGCACGAAGGCGGATAAAGTAGATTGGGTCCAGGCCCTCCCAGAGAATCCGCCGATCGGGCGTGTGAGTTTCTGAGAGCGTGGGCTTGAGCTAGCTCAAGCTTCGCTCTGGGGGGGGAGTCGGGATCTGGCGAATTATCCACGCAATTCAGCGAACGCTCCAGCGCGGGGGGGAGGGGTCCAAGAATCGAGGGGGGGGGGAGCTCGGCGAGGACGCGGAGGGGGGTCAAGCTCAAGCGGGGGGGGGGTCCAAGGAGGAAGCTCGAGCAAGCGGGGGGGTCGAGCTCAAGCGGGCGGGGGGGGGTAAGCGCGGGGGCGGGGGTCCAAGAATCGAGGGGGGGGGACCTCGAGCGAGGACGGGGGGGGGGCGTCGAACGGAGGGGGGGGTCGAGCTCAAGCGGGGGGGGGGGGGTCAGCGCGGGGGGGGGGGGTCCAAGAATCGAGGGGGGGGGGGGAGCTCGAGCGAGGACGGGGGAGGGGTCGAACGGATGGGGGGGGTCGAGCTCAAGCGGGGGGGGGGGGGGGGTCAGCGCGGGGGGGGTGGGGGGGGTCCAAGAATCGAGAGGGGGGGGGAGCTCGAGCGAGGACGCGGAGGGGGGGGTCGAGCTCAAGCGGGGGGGGGTCCAAGGAGGAAGCGCGAGCGGGGACGGATGGGGGGGTCGAGCTCAAGCGGGGGGGGCGTCCAAGAAACCGGAACCGGGGAGGGCAGCGGGGGGAGGAGGGACGTTGTCGTCATCATCGTCCGTCGTTGACCCGGTCGTCGGTCGTCGTCGTCGTCATCGTCCGTTCCCACACGCATCGGGAGCGCCCCGGATCGGCGGCACTGGCCGGAGGCCATTACAATAACAAAACGCAGCAACAGCAGATCGATTCTTGAAGGAGGAAGGCCCTTGAAGTAGATGGGGATCTGGGAATTCAGAGGTACCCAAGTTTAACGACCGACGGGGATGGTTCCTCCTCTGACCTCCTCCCTTCTCCGCAGTCTTATCCGGCCAGAGCGCGAACGGACGCGCGAGACGCGGTCAGCGCACTCCACCCCGCCCCAGACGGGCTGCCTGCAGCACCTCCCGCAGCTTCGCGTCCGCATCGGGCAACGCATCGACCTCCGCCGTGCCGTCCCCTGCCCTGCTCCTCCTGGACCCCCCCCCTCCTCGTTTGCCTCCCGCTGCTGC